TATTTACATACATATATACATATATATATAGTCCATTTTTAAAACAAATAGGCTTCATATCTTATCAAAAAAGTCTCTCCATCCATAAAGAAAAAGAATCATAAGCAGTTTATGAACATAATGCAAATGAATTTATATGATCTATTTTCAGCAAGAACCTTAACAAACTGTAAAACAGACACGTATATAAACAAAACTATTGCGTAGAAATGACTGGATTTTAGTCATCCAGCATATCTCATAAGTCTTTTTCAAAGTTTTCCAGCTGCATAAGTTTGCCCATACGATAGATAGATAGATAGATAGATAGATAGATAGATAGATAGATAGATAGATAGATAGATAGATGGATAAATATATATTCTTCTAGTGTAATTTACAAAAACACACATTTTACATTATCCTCAAATATAAACATAGGCTTTCTTATTAAACAGCTCTCATTCTGTCAATGAATATTTTTTTTACGATCAACTGATCTGATTTTGGAAAAGTATCCCAAAGCTTTTTGTGGCTAAGATGCTTAGAGAGAAATTGTGACCCATATGCCAACACTTTAGAATGTAAAAAATGTAATTTCCCCTGAGCTGCCTGGGTATTTGAGGTGAACCCAGATGAGGGTGCACATTATTCTATGGCAATTCACCCCTTTAATGTCCCTAAAGCCTCTAGAACAAATTATCAAAGTGTGTTATTCAATAATGCACCTTCAATATGTTCTACCAGTGCAATATTTTACAACAGATTTCTAAAGTAGAAGCATTTGCAGTGCTTAAAAGAAACTTGCATTTTCAGATGAACACATATTGGAAATATGGCATCAAGAAATTCATACAGATAGACCATAATGCACTAAACCACTGCACAACAAATGGCATTCATTCAGAAAGCCTTAGCAACTAGATTGTAAGCTATAGGTGCCCTCAAAACTGCTTTGTAAAAAAATAAAATAAACATATTATTTGGCTCTTTAGCTGCATATATAACTATAAGGAAACATTGTATATATGTACACACTAGCACTATATAACACTGTTTACTATACATATATTATACACTCATTGTTTTCCCTTAGGTACATCTGTGCATACATGTGTAAATTGCAAATGTATCAATTTCTATGTACAAGGATAGTAATACTGGAACACTAGCTGCTAGTTTATAAGTTAAAACAGCCACTTTATTTTATTTTTTTACTTCACTCCATGGCAAAAGTGTGTGTGTACATGAATTCAAACTGATGATAAATAAACTGTTTTCGATATAAATAATAAAAACAAATAACAAAATCAACACACTACAATAAAAACAAATCATTTAGCAAACAGAACCAAAAATGATCAAGTTTAGCAAAGTGGAAATAAATAACTAGCAGCTGTTTTGTTCTGAAATAATTTTTGAGTTTTGTACAACCTGTGTGCACTGTATTTCCTACGTTACATCAGTTTAACAAGTCAGCTCGAATTAAGCAGAAATGTGAGCTCCAATTAGTTTCATACAGAAACTTTGCTATTCTACTGTCTGGACAGTCGCCTCCAGTTACAGTTTGGAGTTTCCAAAATCTCAGCAGTGTTTTCAAATCAAACATTTCTAAGGAATATCTGTCCACTATTCATGTGTATTTCTCAGTATACTTACATTTCTAAAAATAATCTAGATTTTTTGGGGGGCTGTTTTTTTCAGAATACTGTTAAATAAAATCAGAAAGGATAAAATAAGTGCTTTTGCCAAAAAAATCAAACCAAAAAAAGAACATTTGGGATGTTCACTTTCTTGCTTTTCTGAAATAATCTCTGCTATTTTAAGAAAGTAAAAATCTCAACTAAATAACAATATAATAATCTCTATAAGTAAGAAAATAATGAAAATGATCTCTACTAAATACGAAAACAGTAATCTCTACTAAATAAGAATATAACAATCTCTACTAAATAGGAATGCAATTATCTCCACTAAGAATATAACAATCTCTACTATAGAAGAATATAACAATTTCCACTAAGTAAGAATATAACAATCTCTACTATATAAGAATATAATAATCTCTACTAAGTAAGAATAAAATGTCCTTATTGTACACAACTGGGAACATAACCACCTATACATGAGCCCTTAGTTTTGTGTCCCTTTCAAGTGCCTATAGGATGGTCTAAATGTTCATGTATTTTCTCATTATGCTCATTATCACCTACACTAATGAACCCAATAAAACTCCGTGTAACTGTTCCTGCCAATAGCTGTACCATGTATTCAGTGTATCCTAGAACAACTGAATGACAGAGGATGACCCCTGTGTGATCATCTTCCCTAATACCCTGTCACAGTCCTATACTGGGATATCCTGTATACACATTGTCACATACTTCTGTGCAGGAAGTGGGAAAGGGGAAATTGACACATTATTATTTTATATACAGTAATACATGTGTGGCTTGTCATCCATTGATCTGAAATTGGGAGTTAATAAGCACACACATTTTGGCAGCCCTTCAGTTAGGATCGCCACCTTTACACAAGGCATTTGTTAGTATTTTCTTCAGCAGGTTAGGACCATGAAAACTATTTCCTGTTTGATAATGAGACTGATTTACTAAGGACGTTTTGGGGGTTTTGGTGAATATTCACTTTGCTTATCCGGTTATGTGAAAAGCAAATTCCTGATCACTTTACACATCCAATCATGTACAAATGCTTTTCACAGGATTGAAATGAACGCTCACACAATCTTTTTTTTGTGTGAAAATTCTCAACTTCTGTATGAAATCTGCCTCAATGTGTAAATACGCTTATATGAGATTATAATTCCCAGAGATGATAGAAAAAAAAAGAAAAACAAATGTGTGTTTGATAACTACACATGGAAAAGCTGTCTCTGTGCCCCTGCCGCCTATAGACACATGCCTATTACGCCTTATGTTAAATCCATGTATTTAATTGCTGATGTATTTACCCCAGTCCCCCAACTGTTATAAATATATTTCACAGGTATTTATATGGCGCCAACAATTATACAGCGCTGTACACACACACACACACACACACACATATGTATTCTTTATTTTCTGATATGCTGTTGTCTTTTCTCCTTCTAGGATGACAGTCTATAACCCTTAGAAAGATTCAATGATAGAAAGGCTGATAGATGATCACATGTTATACATACTCATCGGAATCGTAGCTCTGTCCCTTGCCATGTCTGATCATTTGGGGTCCCTGTAAAGAATTGGGGCTGACATCGGAGGGCCACTTACCTTGCATATTCTCCGGCATCTGTCCGTGCTCCCCGTGTGACCGGGACAGTCCTAAAGCTTCGGACTCCACTTTGGGCAGCATGACGGGGACAGGGAGACACACACAGGGACCGGCTCACCGCCCTGCACCGCGATTTGATCTTAGGAGAGGGTGATCTGATCTGCCAGGGGAATCTATAGAAACTCTTATGGGATGGAAGCGCTGAGTGCCTGCTCCCGGAGATAACATGTGCCGCCGGACTAGCGCAGCGCCAAGCGTCTTTGGAAAGGTGGCATTGGGTCTTCAGGGCGCAGTGACGGCTACTCTTCGGAAGTATACCGGCTGATGGTAGTAAGAAGGGACGGGATGTGGGGCTGTCATGGAATAGCAGCACTCCGTACCAATGTGTGTCTGGGTCAGGTGTGCAGGAAGAGAAGAAGGATGACCCCGTACCTCCCGGCTCCCCTCCCAAGCTGTCTGTGATCCAGCCTGCCAGTCTGAGCTGTGTCTCCTCTGATCGCTGTCACTCTGCGAAACGCCGGGGGCTGGGTCTCCTCCGCTGCGTCTCCTCCAATCAGTGGCCCCTCCCGTAGCCACGCCTCCCCCGATCTGTTGTGTCTACTCCTCCGCAAGTTTTGAGTTGTGAACTTCGTGCCTCTCTTTCTATAGCGCGGCTATCCAGAGCTCACGTAGGAAGCTGCCAGCAGCACAAATCTGCCTGGAGTGTCCTCTTCTGTATGTCATGTCACCTCCAAAACTGCTCCTACACTATGCAATCTGATTGTATAATTTCCTTTAAATCTACAAGGGCCTGCCTGACTTGATACAAATTGAACACATCGTTTAGATTTGTCCTTATATTTGCACAGTTTTGGTGAATCTAAAACACAGCACACATGCTACCATCTGATTGTATGGTTTGCTTTAGATCTACCAGGAACTATATAGTGTGAGGACATGTGTGAATAAATTCAGACTGATTGGATAGATTCTCATGATACATAGTTTTGATAAATCTAAAGTTGATTGTACAATAACATGTATGACAGCTCTTAGATTTAGAGGGACTGTACATTCTGATTGTATAGTGTATGGCCAGATTCATTCTAGTCTCAGTCATGTGGCTGTGTTCTGCTGAAAGATCTGCACTCACAATAACAATTGAACAATTTCCTAGGCTAGTCTGCTACAGACAATTCATCATTGACATTTATCTCCTCTAACCCGGTCATTCATTTCCCTTTTGTATGTTGTAAAGAGCTCAGGTGGTTCACATATATTTTTTGGCTGTGTGTATGTGTGCAATGGGGGACAGCTGGTCATTGTTCATGTATGTTCAGCACATTGCCATGCAGCAGCCACCACTATCCTTTCTACTGATGTGTGACGTCACCCGATCAATGACAGTCCACCCTCAGGTCAATACTGCACATGGCAGCCTGGTGTCTTCACATTGCTGGATAAAAAGTAAGCTACATATGACAGATCATTAATAAGTCAGCTAAGCAGCCCATCTATCGTTATATGGGAAGCTAGAGAACTAGAAACATTTTAAAAATTCCTCTATATGATCAAAAAAACAATTACAACTCCAGCAAGCTCTTCCTACATATCGAACCGAAATGAATTCGAATTGTAGACAATCTTCATATGATATACACTTCAACAAAGCTGATATAACACACCGATTCCCAGCTCTCCTCAAATGTTCTGATTGCTATGGGACTATTGAGGTCAATTTACTAAAGGAGTGCATACTTTTTACTTATAGCTAAGTGACAAGCACTACTTGTTTTTAAAAAAACAGCCCGATTATTGACGCAGGAAGATCTCCAACAAATGTCCAAGTAATAAAAGAAATATAACTGACTCTAAAATTCGGTGATTTATAAGCCATGGGAAGAGAATGCTGACCATGTGCCGTATGGTGGCTACTATCTATCACTGATACTCGGATTTTGCATATTAAATTACTTCTATCATAACTATATCTGTGTGCAGGCTGCTGGCTTCTCTTGATTACTGTTTTTGTAATAATAACATAGGGAAATGCAGCAGCCTGAAGTTTTACATAGTTTTTATTTCCCTCTGTGCAAATAAGCTCTCTTTACACAATGTAACATCACAAGTTCATTAAAAATTAACCTTATCACCACGTAACTGCTGGAGTCAAGAGGTTGTGCAAACAGGCATTTTATTTCCAACAGCATTCCAGAGAAGGAAAGGGAAAAAAAACGATTTTTTTTCAACACAGAATTATCTTTCCAATCATTTATTTTAACTGACTTGCTAAAAATCTTATTTTGGAAAGTGAACGAATAAAGCGATCAGATGTACTGCTGCAACAATCCGAGAGGTCTATACAAAGTAAAGATCTGTCCTAAATGTTTAGTCTGTGCACAGTATTGATTCATCTTGTATCTATAGGCAAAAAGAGAATTGTTTTAAATCTTTATACTATAAAAAACAAAAGCTATATCAATTCCAGTCCTTTATTTCGTTTAATGTTTGTAGGAATAATATAGGATTGTATGTATTTGTACACACACGTGCGTTTATTAGATTAAAACCCCGACCCCAGTGATGAGCAGGAAATTGTATTTATGTAGAAGCTCTGGAATTATCGCAACCTTCTACAATACCCTCATTAAGATCTATTGTTTTCTTCAAACGCTGAAAAGTTATATATAAAACTGCTTTTATGGACTCATCTGAAAGGATTTCGTTCGTAAATTCTGTAAAATGCACTTTGATCAAGAGCTGACCCTTTCCAGAGCTTTTACTTTTCACGGATTTTACATGCTGTGAATATATATATGTATATATATATTTATATATTTTTTTTTATGTGTGTGTCGTTAAACGCAATGGAAGCCCAGCAGTCCAGTCACATCAGCTAACAGTACATACGCAAGAGTGGTGAAAACTTAACTCTTGCTGAGAGCAATGGATTCACAGATTATTTTAGAGCAGAATATGTCATTTCCTTCACCTGTCGGGGTATAGTTAGCTATTTTATGACTTGTGTAAATAAATGATAGTAGTTTTATTTCAAAATCCCAGGAGGGATGTGTTTGTGTAATACCATGGCACTGAAGTGCACGGTTGGTTCTGTGATTTTACAGGCATTCAGCTGTCAGCCCAGCCCTCTTTACTATACCAGAAGAATTTCAAGTGACATTTTGTCCGCAGCAAACGTTGACACATATCATAAAGATCGCTTTTTTACTGTGCTGCTCAGGGTTTTATAGATGTATGCAAACACTGAAAAATACAAAAAGTATGAAAAAGGGACATCATAACTCTCCCCCTCCAACCTGCCCCCCTCCCCTCTGGCTTCTGTTTCTCTTTCTCCAGATCTCTCTGCCTGTCCTTCCTTTTCTTTTACTCTTTTCTCTCTCAAAAAAAAGTTACTTGCCACAGATTTCTCAGATAAGTAGCTACCAGTGACCATGGAGAAGGTCATGGGAACACTCCTGTGCATGTATAAAGGTGGCCATACACTCTACAACCATCGCAAGACTTTAGTCTTGCGATGGTTGTACAGGGATTAAAAAAACGTACGATCTTGCCTATCTTGGACAGGCAGATCGCACTCTCGATCATCGCAAGCACGCCCCCCTGAGGGGCGGGCTTCCGATGACCGCAATGCTGAACGGGCAGTGTGCGCATGCGCACACCTGCCCGTTCGGCATTTGTCTTCCGAGCACCGTTCTAACCAGCCGAGAATCGTACGATTCCCGGCTGGTTTTCGAACATGCTGGTTCGACGGAAGACGTGCGACCGTACAGTAGAAACGGTCACACGTCACCGTTCACACTGCTCGATTATCGTACGAAAACCCGATCGCATACGATTATCGTACGATAATCGTGCAGTGTATGGGCACCTTAAGGCTCTCTTCATACCTAAGCACCAATTATAATTATTTATATAGCGCCAAGATATTCCGCAGCGCTGTACAATCGTTTAGACAAGTAAGAAACACTGACAAGCATCATTGACATACAGTAGGTGAGGAGGACCCTGCCCAAATGAGCTTACAATCCAATATATCAGGCGTTTTTTAAAGCGCTTTACAAGCGTCAACACGCGTTTGTCAAGTGGTTTTAAGCGTTTTGCCACACGTTTTTCAGCTTGCGCTGTCCTCCATTTTGTTCCCCAGTTGTTTTTGCAAACAGGAAGGCTGGCTCTTGCGCAACAAACATGTGACAAAATGCAAAAAAGGACCCCCACAGAAACACTAGTGTTAAGTGTTTACAGGAGTTTCAATTTCCATGAAGTCTATGGTGGTAAAAATGCAGAAATCTGCAGAAATGTGGTACATGTACTTTTTATCAGCAACAGGCGTTTTGCTACAGGCGACAGGATGCTCAGATGTGAACAGGGTCCATTGAAAACAATTGAATTCCTTTCAATGAGCGTTGCAATGCGTAGCACTTTGAGCTACAAAACTTAAGGAACAAGGACTTACTCTCACATGTGCATTGCATAACAACACCTATGCATGCTGCATAACTATCTTTTACATAACTATCTTTTTGTTTAACCTGGAAGCTGAACAATAAAATCTAACAGATTTCACCATATATGCTAAATAGTGTGGATTGGTGAATCTTCCCTTCCAAGCCACTGTATTCTGACAGCTAATTGGTTGCAGTCACTGGAACCAATGACAATTTTCACTCACTTCGAAAGCTAAAGTTACCAGTAGAGTCTTCAGCATTCAACACTTCTGGATGTGTCAGATGCTTAGGTTTCTCCACTATGTGCTGTAACTCCTTCTATATTACTAGTACATTCCTCAAAGCTACAGGGATACAGTTATGACATAGCAGTGGAATAAAGGGGAAGTTGTCACATTAGGGAAACGCAGGTATCTGACACACATATCCCAAAGTGTCAGATGATAAATATTCTACTAATGGCTCTAGCTCTGCAAGACAGCGGATGTAGGGGCACTAATGATTTAATACATGTTTGTTTCCTTTATTTAGTTAGTGAAATATATATATCATTAAAAATGTATTTCAAGTTTGTAAAGATATTTAAAGTTGTACTCAAGCTTTTTTTTTTTCACAAGCCCCAGGAGTACTGTCAGTCCAGGGAATGCGAAAAC